TATATATATATATATATATATATATATATATATATATATATATATATATATATATATATATATATACTTATAATGTAGAATAGCGAAAAAAATTCTCGAACTCAAATTTTGTGAACCAGGCGTGTGTGTCTTTTTCAACAAATTAAAAATGGCTTGCGCACGAAATTTAAAAGATAAATCATATTTTGAGCTAATAGACGGAAAAGTTGTTCGGTTGTTCATTACTATACAAAATTTCAGACAATTTGCTTTAGTTTAAGCCCTTTAACTATTCACGCAAACTTACATTTTTGCCTAAAAATCAGCTATTTGCATGCTTAATTAATAATGCCTTCGCCTAATTTGCACATGTCAGCAATATGAAAATTAGGTAATTAAAGGCATATTAATAAAGCATGCGAAAGACTGATTTTTTAGGATAAAATGAATAGCTAAAGGGCTTAAACTAAAGCAATTAATTGTCTGACATTTTGTACAGTAATTAAAAACCTAACAAATTCTCCGTCTATTAACTCAAAATATGATTAAAGCTTTTAAATTTCGTGCCCAAGCCATTTTTAGTTTGTTGGAAAAGACACTCCTCCCTGGTTTGAGTTTGAGAATTTTTTTTCATTATTCTACATAGCTGTTTTGCCCAATTGAGAGCAATTTCAAATCTGTTCAGTTTTTTTTATACACCCTGTAGTGTTTCAACCTCGCAAGCCAGGCTCTCTACTTCCGCTTCCCTCCCTAACACGCTGCAGCGGAAGTAGAGAGCCTGGCTTGCGAGGTTGGTAGTGTTTGTAATATTACTCTGAGTGTGCATCCACACCGGGCAAGCTGAAAAGTTTGCTTGGCCACGGTGGGAATCGAACCCGCGACTTTTGGGATACTAGTCCAATGCTCTGCCAATTGAGCTACGCGGTCAAGTCGATTTGAGTTGATGATATTTCGGAACTTAGTCTAGTTCCTTCGATACCAGTGTATTCTAAGATATGATATTTGTGTGTGTTGGTGTTATGTAATATGATGCTTGTGATGTTATTCTGAGTGTGCATCCACACCGGACAAGCTGAAAAGTTTGCTTGGCCACGGTGAGAAACGAACCCGCGACCTTTGATATCGAACCCGCGAACTTTGGAATCGAACCCGAGACCTTACAACTCGAACCGACTTGACCGTGTAGCTCAGTTAGCTGAGCATTGGACTAGTATCCCAAAGGTTGCGGGTTCGATTCCCACCGTGGCCAAGTAAACTTTTCAGCTTGTCCTGTGTGGATGCACACTCAGAGTAACATCACAAACATCATATTCACCTGAGTACATAACACCAACACACACAAATATCATATCCTAGAATACACTGATTTCGAAGGAACTAGACTCAGTTCCGTAATATCATCAACTCGAACCGACTTGACCGCGTACCTCAGTTGGCACAGCATTGGACTAGTATCCCAAAGTTCGCGGGTTTGATTCCCTCCGTGGCCAAGCAAACTTTTCAGCTTGCCCGGTGTGGATGCACACTCAGAGTAACATCACAAACATCATATTCACCTAACACCAACACACACAAATAATATATATAGTTTTGTGAAAAATTTAAATATTCAAATTGTTCCGTACGCAACGGAGAAGAGAGCTATACCTCGACATAATTCTTGATCATAGAGTCACAGCGATACCAAAACTTCAATATTGACAACAGAAAGAAACTTCGGTGCAGAAGATTTTTACAGCGAACTGAGCAAAACGTGCTTTCATTTCCAAGTAAAGTCCTTTCTCCTAAACTCTCCCTCGACTATCACTATGTCTACTGAAATGTGATCCAACTTCTCGCTTGACTAATGTAACCCAACACTCAATGTTATAGAGGAAGACGTGTGATAATTAAACACGAAATATTTCAGGATTTCTTGTTGCAAATTTAAATTCTATCGCCCGAAACTATAACACACAAGTTGTAATTTTCCAAGCGCAACAAGCACATTCCTCTACCACCTCTTCCTAAGCAATTTCAATTTAGCACCCAGAATCTGGGAGCCACGTGACCAGCTATTGCCAGGGTGTTTCCTACTAAATAGGGAAGAGCCTGGGGACGAGGTTGCGAATGTGGTAGCAATTTCTGTACGCAATACAAAAGTATACAAAAGTATGCAAACTTCGCAAGGCTATATTTTCTGCATTTTACAACATGTCGCAACCAAACACGGCAATTTTACTCATTTAGTATGTTAATTCTTTCTGGCTGTGGTGATGGGAATTGTCTATTGTAACTTTAATTTCAAGAAGTGTAAAATCACATTATACAACAGTAACGGCTTGAAAATTTCACTCAAATACGTAAGTTTTGCTGGTCCTGTTTAAGGTAAAGTGTTTTCCATTTTAGAAAGAGATGATGGCATATTTTCCACCCGAACTTACTTAAGTAGCGCAGCCGCCATATTTGTCTTGTTTTGTTTCGAAGCAATCTGTGACCGTTACTTGACGTTTTTTCCAACAATCAGATAAGTTTATTACAGATTTTTTATAAAACTGCGCACTTTTGTTTGAGATTGATTTTTTGAAAGACGTATAATATAAATTATTGATATTCAATAACGTGCGGTGAACAGACTTCGTATGAGGCGATATTTGTGTCACAACCTCGTTCGTAATATCATGTTTAACGCAAAAGGTCTCATCTAAACGTAAACGATAATCTTTAACCTACTCCTTGGCTTCGAAAATACCGAATGTTGGTCACCGGTCATTGACCGGCAAATTTTATTAACCGGCGAATATTATCGCCTACTGGACACGCATTACCGGCGAAAATTTTAATTTAAAAACTGCTAGCCGGCGTAGCAGTCGCTTTATTTTATTAAAGGTTTTGACGATTTTTGAATAAATGGTGGGTTAGAAAAAATGGGCGAAGAAAAAAAGGGCGAGAAAAAACGGACGAAGGAAAAATAAAGCGCCGGCAACCGTCCTTTAATAAAAATTTATTCTGCCTACTTACTTGAAATTTCTGGCCACGTTTCACGGCGAAAACAACCAACCATCAGACACGAGCCGCAAGTATGACCATGAAGTGGCGGTGTAATTATGAAAACAAACATACATCGTAGCCTCCACCGCAGGCATCTCACCCGAGGAATGGGGTGGTGGGAAAATGTTTGGTGAGATGCCTGCCATCAAATCGACACAAAAATTTAGACTGCGCATACCGGCTCGCGCATGCAAATTTCGACAAACTCAAACTTAGGGGGAGTAGGGAGGGCTTACAGCAAGGTGTAGAGAAACTTTTGTTTTCAACACAATGGCTTAAAAGACGAATAAAACTGTAAAGTTAAGGAACAATCCTGCTCTTTAACATTGTAAATACACAGAGAACTTTGACAACGGAACTGAGAATGTTAGCGAGAGCCGAAGCTGCGATTTACTTGGGATTGTTTAGAGACAACGAGTGACTTTCCAGAGCAGTGAATTCACGTTGTAGTCGATTCATGTCAAGACAGGGTCTCAATTAAACGTTTATCGTTGACATATACAAATTTCCACTCAAATTTTTGACGACATTTTATACCATAAGAAGTTGAAATTGCTTCAGGCTGTGATTTAGTCGAAATTATTACATGAAAACGAACCAGCGAAAATTGTCAAATCTGCAGGTGGTCAAATATATAAATGTACTGATTCAACTGTTGACATCTGTGTCTGTGAGTGTGCCTTCGGTATTAAATATATACCTCTTGCCCTGTTCTAATACGCTTATATGGAAGGAAAATCATTAATAAAAGTCTCTAAAAGAAAGATGTTTCTTTATATTGTGGTGAATACACTGTGCAATTTACCCCTTGGACAAAGGCAAAATGATAAGGCAAAGAGTGTCTTAGATGATAACAGACCTGTTTATATATGGGTGTGAGTTACCTGGACATAAGGGAATAGATATAAGGGAATAGAAAGTATAACTGGAATTTAACGGGAATATAATAGTTTTCCAAGTGATGGTTTATGTGATGCAACAGGATATAAAGACGTGTCTTAATAACATTCATCTTGCTTGCAAAAGTTCACAGGCAAAATATTTAGAGGGTGGGAAAAGGGCGGGGGGGTATGGATCACGTTTCACAACGAAAAAAAGGCCGTTTCACGATTCACGTGTCTTAAAAAAGCAATTTCACGGAAAATTAGATTCTAATAAAATAATATAATAATTATAGGTTTATTAAGAGTATGTTTAATGCATGGTACAGTATCCACGTTTTAAGTTCTCTCACTTCTCTACCAGTCAGTTAAAAACTACATCATAACTTACAAGTTTGAGTATCGAGCATGCACGACGACCACCAAGTCCTCAGCGTGAGAAACCTTGTCCTCAGCGTGAGGAACCTTGTCCTCAGCGTGAAGAACCTTGTCCTCAGCGTGAAGAACCTTGTCCTCAGCGTGAAGAACCTTATCCTCAGCGTGAAGAACCTTGTCCTCAGGGTGAGGAACCTTGTCGTCAGCTTGAGGAACCTTGTCTTCAGCGTGAGGAACCTTGTCCTCAGCGTGAGTAACCTTGTCCTCAGCGTGAGGAACCTTGTCGTCAGCGTGAGGAACCTTGTCCTCAGCGTGAGGAACCTTGTCCTCAGCGTGGGGAATTTTGTCCTCAGCGTGGGGAAACTTGTCCTCAGCGTCAGGAGCCTTGTCCTCAGCATGATAAACATTGTCCTCAGCGTGAGAACCTTGTCGTCAGCTTGAGGAACCTTGTCCTCAGCGTTAGGAACCTTGTCCTCAGCGTGAAGAACCTTGTCCTCAGCGTGAGGAACTTCTCCTCAGCGTGAGGAACCTTGTCCGTCCTCAGCGTGAGGAACCTTGTCCTCAGCGTGAGGAACCTTGTCTTCAGCGTGAGGAACCTTGTCCTCAGCGTGACGAACCTTTTCCTCAGCGTGAGGAACTTTCTCCTCAGCGTGGGGAACCTTGTCCTCAACGTGGGGAACCTTGTTCTCACCGAGGGCAACCTTGTCCTCAGCGTGAGGAACCTTGTCCTCAGCGTGAGGAACCTTGTCCTCAGCGTGAGGAACCTTGTCCTCAGCGTGAGCAACCTTGTCGTCAGCTTGAGGAACCTTGTCCTCAGCGTTAGGAACCTTGTCCTCAGCGTGAAGAACCTTGTCCTCAGCGTGAGGAACTTTCTCCTCAGCGTGAGGAACCTTGTCCTCAGCGTGAGCAACCTTGTCGTTAGCGTGAGGAACATTGTCCTCAGCGTGAGGAACCTTGTCTTCAGCGTGAGGAACCTTGTCCTCAGCGTGACGAACCTTTTCCTCAGCGTGAGGAACTTTCTCCTCAGCGTGGGGAACCTTGTCCTCAACGTGGGGAACCTTGTTCTCACCGAGGGCAACCTTGTCCTCAGCGTGAGGAACCTTGTCCTCAGCGTGAGGAACCTTGTCCTCAGCGTGAGGAACCTTGTTCTCAGCGTGAGGAACCTTGTCCTCAGCGTGAGGAACCTTGTCCTCAGTGTGAGAAACCTTGTCCTCAGCGTGAGGAATCTTGTTCTCAGCGTGAGGAACCTTGTCGTCAGCGTGGGGAACCTTGTCTTCAGCGTGAGGAACCTTGTCCTCAGCGTGAGGAACCTTGTATTATTTATACACAATGGATAATAGACGACTCGTCGCGTTTCCGTCTCACTGTAGTCCTACATGCTTAAAGGCCGTTTTCCACTAGTATAAATACTGTTTTCTCAAAACAGAACATTTCGTGCTTTAAGTTAAGATGGCGAAAACCAATTTGATCATTTAATGTGTTTTTTATGCATAGTGCTTCAGCAGTTGACACGTAAAGAGCTCAACGGAAACATATAAATTATAGCATCTGACCAATGAGATATTCAAATTCATTAGTTATTGATGCAGGCTCTCAATTCAGCTTGAGAGCCTGTTCGCTGGCTAACAGAGTAAAAGCAGGCACTCTCATGCGATGGATGATACAACGAGAACTTGTTGTGGGCCCCTGACATTGTAGGTTCTTACATGATATACATGACGACATAGATTTACTATATTTTAAAGCAATATATGTCAAAAGCAATTTTATTTGAACATGAACAAGGGAGATACATATAATTAGAGAATATACAGATACATCATAATTTCATTTATTTATCAAATATAATCGTGGATGTCATGTGGCCAGTGAGTGTAACACAACTAGGCAGGGTTTATTTTAACGTGCAGTTCTACACAAAATGTGCAGTTCTAAGCGGCATGTACTAAAACACGGAACACTAATCCGGAACACCGGAACAGCCCGGAACAGCAGGGAACAGCCCGGAACACCTCCGGAACAGCCCGGAACACCTCCGGAACAGCCAGGAACAGCGCGGAACAGCCCGGAATACCTACGGAACAGCACGGAACAGCCCAGAACACCTACGGAACATGGCGGAACATCTACGGAACAGCACAGAACAGTCCGGAACACCTACGGAACACGGCGCAACAGCACGGAACAGCCCAGAACACCTCCGGAACAGCACGGAACGCCTGCGTAACAGCACGGAACAGCCCGGAACACCACCAGAATAGAACGGAACAGTCGGGATCAGTTGGAAACGGCCCGGAAAACCACCGGAACACCTCCGGCTTTTAACCATTTAAGCGCCAATTAGGGCTCGAATTTGGGGGCGGCTATCTTTAAAATTGGGAATGGGAATGGGGGAATGGGGAATGCGGGAATGCGGGAATGGGTGAATGCGGGAATGCGGGAATGGGTGAATGCGGGAATGCGAGAATGGGGGAATGCGGGAATGGGGGGATGCAAAAATGGGGGAATGCAGGAATATAGGTTTATGAATTTTTCTTGAAATTTCTAGCCAAAGAAAGATTTAAAAACATGTTGAAAGGAAATCCACTGTATTGCAATGATTTAGATGAAAGTGTTGGCGTGCACGGATTCTTCATTAATAATCAATATTATAATTAAATAAAGTAAATATAATTTTAACTGTCTATTCCAATATTTAGCATATTTACAATTATTGTACATATATAAGAGATATAAAGCATGCGTAAAGAAGAGTACATTTTCAAATTTAATATTAGGTTTTGACGTTACTTTTTAGTACTATTTAAATTTTCAAGGACACCTTCAATAATATTGTAATAATCTTGTGACATACCCGTTTTACAAATGCACAATATTCAGTAAAGAACACTTAAAATATAGATATTTTTAATATACCGTTTTATATTTTTAAATTAAAACATTTTTTACTTAGAAATTTTTCTCAGAAATTTTTCTTTTAAACATTAAATTTGTACACTTTTTTCCAACTTTTGTAAACTCTCAAATTGTTTATTTAAACATTTCAGTATTGGTTAGGGTGAGAGAAGGGTTGGTGGTTATGGTCAATCTCGTTTCCAGAGTATGCCTGTTCGCGAGTTAGGTAGTAACCCGCGAACAGGCATACTCTGGGAACGAGATTTATTTTATAAAAATTAAAATTTTCAAGTAACAAGTTGCTGTACGAATAGCAAACCGATGTTAAACGAATAGCCACTTCGTTTTCAAAAATAATTTCTACTACGGCTTTTTATACGGGCAATGCCGCGATGAAAATATGATTAAAACGGGACGAACAAAAGACGAAATACAAACACAAACGGGCTTCGTGAAAAGCTAAGGTTCGAAACAAGAAGAAAATAGTCGAACTACGGTAGAAGCAATATTCATAGAGTTTTAATAATAATATAAAACGGTATATTAAAAATATCTATATTTTAAGTGTTTTATTACTGTGCATTTGCAAAAGGGATATGTCACTCTGCATGTATGTACGTAAGATTAAAATTACAATATCATTCAAGTTGTTCTTGAAAATTTAAATATAATAGTACTAAAAAGTAACGTCAAAAACTAATATTAAATTTGAAAATCTACTCTTCAAACGACAGTCAACAGTTCATGAAGTTTGATCGATGTTTTATCGATGCTTTACGCATGCTTTATATCTCTTGTATATGTACAATAATTGTAAATATGCTAAATATTGGAATGGACAGTTAAATTAGTTGCTATTAATATTAATATATATATAATTATATTTACTTTATTTAATTATAATATTATTATTAATAATAAAGAATCCGTGCACGCCAACCATGGCCAGAAATGACGGACATTGTGCAAGCGTACCAGTCGGTCAGCGGCTTTTCCGTTTATCCACAAGAATCCCTAATTATCCTTTTACGACCTATCAAAGCATCCGGAATTTCAAATATTCGCGTGGGTGTTGTTTATAAAGCAAAGCATGAAGTATGCATTCAAGTTGTGGCCTTTAGTTTACCAGGCTCGGGGTGTAGCTAAGCAATGACTACGGGAACGAAAAGAGAAGATTTCGACGAGTATTTTGGTACCAAACATGTAGGAAGGCAATAAATATTTCAAGTTTGGCAAGCGAATGGAATATCACTTTTCGATCGCGAAGTAATATTATAATATGCATATTAACGCACCGGATTGCGAATTTCAAAACAAAAAAGCAGAGCTTTTATCGGGTATAACAAAATAATAAACGGCGGAAGGCAAGGCTATACTATTCGTCAAAATAAAATGATTTCAACAAATTTCGATAATTGAATATATTACGAGATATAGCCTTTTGAGCGAGAAACCTTTATAGATTCCTATGTAAAGTGAGGTAAAATGTTGTAATATTCAATCGCAAAAAGCAGAGCGAGTATGCAAAGAAATGAGAACATTTTTTCTTGATGTGTTACTATACGACCGCTACTTCTGGAACCAATTTCAACAAATATTCAAAGATTTATATATAGCATGCTATATTGAAAATACTCTGCTCGCCAGATAATAAACATAGGGCATTGCGCAGCCATTGTTGCGTGGGTGCTCGTGGTAACGTGAAACCTGAGAAAGGCAAATGTCCGTGATTTCTGGCCATGACTTTCATCTAAATAATTGCAATACAGTGGATTTCTTAGTTTCAACACGGCTAGAAATTTCAGGAAAAATTCATTAACCTATATTTCCGCATTCCCCCCATTCCCGCATTCCCCCATTTCCGCATTCCCCCATTCCCGCATTCCCCATCCCCCCATTCCCCCATTCCCGCATTCCCCATTCCCGTTCCCTATTTTAAAGATAGCCAATTTGGGGCTATCTTTAAATGAATGGGGAAATGTGGGAATGGGGAATGCTACAACTTCATTAATATGATACGCATTAAAACGTATGCCATGAACGTCTTTTGTTGTTTCAGAGTATATTTTTTATACTCGTGTTTTTAGTGATTTTCACAACTGTCTAACGTTTATTAAAAAATACGTCAGGACTCAAGCCTTTGCCGGTTTCATATATTTAATATAATCTAGTATTTTAATAACATAATTAAACAAAACTAAATATAAAAATACGTTTATCAGGATATGCACAGTGGAGACCTGAATTAAGAGCAAAAACTAAGATATAGACCATTCCGAATTACGCTCTAGAATAACACCATGCTGAGGTACAGTGCTTATAAGTACTATAAGGATTTCCTTATACCTCCGGCCACTGACAATATAAACTAATTATAAACTAATTAATATAAACTAAGATCTATAATTGTGCTAAGCAACAAAACTCCGGCAAAAAATGTATAGTTAGTTTGAAGAAAACACTGTTCCACCTACTCTCCTTTTTCATCCAAATTAAAGAACCCAGCCAAACTCCCCAACAAGCCTTTGGACGTGTTCTAACTTGAAAAGTTGTTGGAATTCTGGTTGAACCAAGAGGACTCTCCCGTTGAAACTCAGATATTTCGCTAGGATGCATGACGCTTTCATATGAAAATGAACGTTAATTCAGGTTTCCACTGTACATTGCCTGATAAAAACTTATTATTATACTTTGTTTGGTGTAACTACATGTTAATACAATATGTATATACTAGATTATATTAAAGTTAAATACATGAAGCAAAGCGTTAGAGTCCAGACGTATTCTCTTTAACAAACGTACGGATATTTTAAGATATTAGCCTCTTCTCAATTTTTTATCAGTATACACGAGTACGAGTTATGAATATACTCCGAAACAACAAAAGACGCTTATTACAAACGTTTTAATTCGTGTCATAAGTTAATGAAATTGTAGCATTCCGGCCTCCATTCACGCATTCCCCCACTCTCTATTTTAAAGATAGCCCTTATTTGGCGCCTAAATGGTTAAAAAAATGCCACAGCTCCGGAGGTGTTCCGGTGGTTTTCCGGGCTGTTTCCAACTGTCCCGTTCTATTCCAGTGGTTTTCCAGCTGTTCCGGAGGTGTTCCCGGCTGTTCCGGGCTGTTCCGGTGGTGTTCCAGAGGTATTCCGGGCTGTTCCAGAGGTGTTCTGGGCTGTTCCGTTGGTGTTCCGGGCTGTTCCGTAGGTTTTCCGGGCTGTTTCGTAGGTGTTCCGGGCTGTTCTGTGCTGTTCTGGAGGTGTTCCGGACTGTTCCGTGCTGTTCCGTAGGTGTTCCGCGCTGTTCCGGAGGTGTTCCGGGCTGTTCCGTAGGTGTTCCGGGCTGTTCCGTGCTGTTCCGGAGGTGTTCCGGGCTGTTCCGTGCTGTTCCGGTGTTCCGGATTAGTGTTCTGTTCCGGAACACCGGAACAGCCCAGAACAGCACGGAACAGTCATGTGCAGTCACCAAACTAACAAAACCTTCTTTAAATAAAGTTTTAATAATAAAATAAAAATAAATAATAATAATCAAAAATATAAACTTTTTTGGTTGAGGATTTCAGACTCCTATTTTCCTCACAAATCACTTACGTGCTGGGGTAATGGAAAAGAAGGTAAAATTTGGGCGAGCGAAGCTCCCAAAAGAGATTAGAGTGGGAGAACCTAATCTTCTTTGCTGCCTCAAATGCAAATTTAAGGTTGTTATATATTGAATATCCATGATTCCCAGTTACATGTTTTGAAATAGTTTTTTGTGAGTGGTTGGGTAAAACAAATCTTTGCCAGAACTAGATTCAAATTGTTTTGGGAAGCACCCCCTAGCTTCCCCACCAAAAATCGAGTTTGTCTGGCCTTTCTCCAATTCTGCGACCCAACCACACCCTTATTCTGTAACCTATATGCAGCTAAAAAATCCTTCGACCC